ACATTTTTTATTGAAGTGTAAGGCGCCGAGATATTTCGGGTCGGTCCTGTCTCCCTCTTATCTGTCTACCTAACCGTCCTTTCTGATTCTCTTCTATCTTACTCTTTCTTTTTACCTTCCTTCTTCTCCCTCCTTGCATTCTCTGAATCCTGCACGGCGTTCGTTTCAGCGAGGTGGAGATTCATAACGGCTTCGCGGTCGTCCGGTGACGCCGCGTTCCTTGTCATCGTCTCTCTTTCCTCTCTTTCTCTCTCCAGCACATCCTCCTTCGATAATCCGCGCAAAAAACACATCATCATACGGCGACGACGTTAACTTGCGTCTGAGCGCTCAAAAGACGATCCGGCTTCGCAAAGTGAGATTTCTACGTTGCGGTTTTATCCGAGACGAGTATCCGAAAATTCATAATTAGAAATTCTAGTAATTATGAAATATTCTACGGTAATTTTGGAAAACTGGTGCAGATTCTGCACCAGTAGAATTAAACCCGTTGCGGGGCACGAAAAATCGGAGACGTCGGAGCTTCTCGGAGTAGCCGGGCGCCACCGAGATACTTTTCGCGTTATTAAGTGCGTCATCGTCGGCTGATTTCCCCGGCGCGTTAATTCGCTTGCGATATGTTTGTCGGGCGAACTGCGAGCTGATAGAAATAATGTTATTTCGCACCGCGAGAGTATTATTTTTAGCATGTCAGCGTATTTGATATTGAGTCTTTTTTTTCCTCCCGCGTGTTTTTTCGATCCTCAAAATAAAAACACCGCGCGTTGTATCGCGAATTGTATGTCGAAGAGTTCGACAATTTAACGAGTGCGATAGAAAAATTTCCGACATTAGACGCAGAGAAAATGCACGCGAATGTAAAACTAACTGTCAAGTGACGTCGTCCGCGCCGGAATTTGTGTCGACTCGTCATCACTCAGTCAGCTGACGATGCGATCGCGTTTATACATCCTCCTTGGCGCGTCTCTACGCGCTTTAGAGACTCCTAACATGCGCGAGCGACGGCTAGCTCGGCTATATTTCGTTGCTACATGCCGATCCACATGAACGGCGCGGACACAATTTATAAATAACTCACCGAGACCCGTTTTTGCAAACAAGCTGCGAAGTCGTACGCAAAAGCGGAAGTTCATTAAGCGGGAAAGGCGGGAAAACCATTTCGCTCGGAAAGGCATTGGAGCGCGTTTGTCTCGTTAAACGCTGTCACTTGCTAAAGCGTGACTCAATAATAGGAATGATGCCGATGTCTAATAATACCTTAGCAAATCATTTGCATACGCATAGTCTCGAGGTTTTGCAGACTTCTTTTGAAACAATAAATCTTGTCTCCCTTTCTAAAATAATCGCGATGAAAAGTTTAATTTTTTTACAGATCCGTCTGAAGAAACGAAGAGCGGAAATGTTTTTTTTTTTTACGCGTGTTTCGTATGTCCGCTCGAAATATTTTCAGTCTTGTCTGTAGAATTTTATTCAATCTCACTTTGGTACAATTAATCCTATTTTCCTGTTTCCTATAAATATTTTCAGATCCCGCTCGCAATACTTTCAAGTGTAAATCTCGTTGAAAAATAAAAGGATATCAAAGAGTTATCCGTGCCATTAATATACATCGCAATTAACTTCTCCCGAGGAGAAAAACCTTTGCGAGATAATTTAATCCGTCTTCGTATATTTCTTAAGACGTCCGTTTAAGGATACTTTGAGATTTCTCAACGTGAAAATCCGCTTAATGAGTTTCGCTCGCAGTGTAAACACACAAAAACGCACCGGCGAGCAGCGAGGAGAACGGGTTTTCGGAACGAGCCGTCGGGGGGGCTCCGCGTTTAGAAAGAGCTGAGGAATTAATAAACGAGAGCGCTCTTCTTCCGGGACCGATTGTGACGACCCTCCCTCGACCTTAACCCTTACGGTACCCCTCGACCTAATCCGATCGACAGTTACGTCAAGTCGAACTCGTCGAGAGAACGGGAGGGTCCCGCGCAATCGTCCGCGCGCGTTACCGCAGTCGCGCTGACGTTTCTTCTCACGGGAAGAGATATTGAGTGTAGGGCGTCTCCTGTCGCGTGAGCGCTTAATGGCAAATTCTTCAGCCAATTTGGAATCGAGTGTTTCCAACGAAAATACGTCCCTCGTATCCTTCCCTCTTCCCCCCCCCCCTCCGTCTCTTTCTTTCTCTCTCTCGCGCGCGCGCGGCACCATAGTGGTCCTGGGCTGCTTTCGGCGAGGTTAGTGGTGAACGCACCATATGGGGGCCGGTCTCATGCACTCGCGCATAGCAACAGAAACGAGAGAGAGGGTGACGGTGCGCGAAGAAGGATGGCATGCGAAGGAGAAAAAGAACGAGGAGGAGAAACTAGTGGCATGCCGTCGCATAAAGCTTTGTCGTGCTTTATTTTTATTTTATCACTATTTTATCGTTACTCCTAACGTTAAACATTTGTTTGTCCTTTCACATTTCTTATTATTGCTCATTTTATGCAACGACAAATTTCACAAAGAGATATGATCGTTATAAGTCTCTGAATAAAAATAATTATGCTAATTATCTATTTTGAAATGATTCCTTGAACGTCCTCAAAATGTGTTTAGTTGAAATTTATATAGGCGGTAGAAATCTGCTCCTGATTACATACATCTCCGTCGTTCTCGTTCTGGGCGTCGCTATGCTGTGATCGTCGAGAAGTAGTCAAGAATAAAAGAGAGGTCGAGCTATAAAAGAAAGAGAGAGAACACTGGAAGGAAGAGCGAGAAAGAAAGAGTTGAAGCAGGGGGATCGGAGGGGTGGATCGTCATCAGCCGGTGACGGTCAGGCGACAAAGCTGCTCACGACGATAGGCGGCGGGAGAGAGGAACGACAATGAAATCACGGGCCCTGTGCGATGAATTCGCGTCTATACCGGTTTCTCCGCCCACGCAAATGACCGGAATCGAACGAGACGATTCGGTCGGCAAGAGCGCCTTTACTCGGACTCGCATCGGGCACGAGCCGCACCGGCGTCGACTAATTTACGAGCGACGTTGAAAATAATAATCGGCAACCAAGTAATCAATTGCGAAAAAATGTATTTATTAACTCGTTCCTCGAATTGCACGATTCCGATCGAAGCGGGCGCAATTAAAATCAAGTTTCACGAGCGCGTCTTTAATTAGGAGCCCGCTTGATCTGCATATAAAGGACCGCGCAGCGCTCTCTCGCTTCGATTCTCGCGGACGTTAAAATACTACACGAGCTTTCTCTCTCTCGCGCGCAAAGCCCGCCGATCGATTGCTCACGTGATTTTCATATTATCGCGAATGATAAATCCTCGGATCGAGCCGCACTGCTTACCGGCGGTATATGAAAAAAGTTGGACGCCAAAAATCAAGCGGCCGCCGATGTCGGCCCGATGGAAGTTCGCGCGTCACGCGTGCGAATTAAATTTCCGACTAACCCATATATGACGCGAAATAGGGTCACGCCCGGGTGTGCCGCTATATCGCTTCTTAGAAGAATCGCGCCCGCGACCGGTCGCGAAGTTTTAACCGCGTTCCGCGGACGCTTTTACGAGCATACGAAAGTTTCACTCGCGCGGGTGCTTTCCCGCGTTGGCGGGACGGAGGGCAGCTTTGTGCCTGATTCCGCGCGGGAGTCTGATTTTATCCCCTGCGGGGGGGGGGGGAGAGAACCGCCATAAATTAAAAAGAAGAAATACCATTTGCTCAAAGCCGGTACTTCCGAGCCTTTCGAATTCTCGCGCAACGCAAAAAGTAAAGGGCGTTGCTTGAAGATTGCGAGGGCACTGTTTATTTTCACCCCGCCGAGCGGGACCGCCGTCGTAAATTACAGCAATGATATGTGGCTCGTTCAAACGTGATATTCGAGGCAGTCGTATTTGCCAATTATTGGGAAAAATAATGATTGTTGTTTAAAGACCGCGAGATCACGTGCCTTATCGGTTACTTTCTTGGAGAAAGAATACTTTCTGGCATGAAAATAATTAATTTTTTTGAGAGAAAACGCATTGATCTAGAAAAGGGAAAATCGAACTAATTCGCACGGTGGAAAATGTTTTCCGCGTTCATCATTCGCGAGCTGACAAAATGGAAAACACCATCGCGACGCGAAACGTTGATTTGGAATATGTTTCTTCCGCTTTATGCCAGGTTCATATGCCAGCCTGGCAGGCATTTATCGCGATCCTTTTTGCGAATCGCAATTGACACATAGTCGAAGTCAAAAATAAGCGCTTTGTCGAGCGCCGTCGGTGGTTCGCTTCCGGGGGACCGCGGTGACGATTCGGCCGCGCTCTTCCGCTCGCGGTACCACGAAAAGAGCCGGCGGCGCGGGTTCATTAGCCGCCGCCACCGCCACCGCCGCCGCCGCCGCCGCCGCCGCTGCCGCCGCCGACCCCCGAGGTACTCGTATACTTCTTCGACGGTACAATCGATGCCGAAATAGAGTAACTAGACGCCGATACAGCGCTTGACCATCACCGTGTCGATGACCCGGTGGAGGCGTGCCAACCCGAACAACCACCGTCCTGCTCGATCCGCGGGAGCCTTCTCGCCCCTTCCCG